GGCCATCATGGCTCTTAGGCAGGGCCGTAGTCTCGCTGGACCAGTGGCAGGGGGGTCTATGCACAAGCCCAGCAAGTCCAAGGGTGTCCCACCACCTGGCCTGCCCCGGGGCTGGCAGGGTACTCACACTGTCCACCGCGAGGATCTTGGCCCATATGAAGACCAGCAGGGGCCTCAGCTCCCGGGCTGAACTCTGCAGCAGCTTCAGCACGTAGGGGAAGATCCCCACAGACAGGGCCTGGGGACAGAAGTGTGTGAGGAGCCCAAGGGGGTTGCCTGCAGGCCTTCTCACTCCTGGGGTGCTGGGGGTGAGGTGGTCCTGACTGGGTGGTGCTCAGGGCAGCACCTCAGAGAGGGGTGCACTCGTTCCCACTGGAGAGATGGGGGAAGGGGCTCAGCCCTGTGCTCCCCTCCCCATATGGCTCTGCTTTCAGTGAAGGGAGGTAAGGGGGCTGCGGAGGCCCAGTGCCCACAACCCCAGGGCAGCCCTGCTGCTTTCAAGCCTTCTTCTCTAGCCCCCACTCCCCTCCAGGGTGTTGCCGCCGATGGGGGGGACACAGCACCTGTCTGAGCCGGGTCGCTAGCCCAGCTCCAAGGGGAGCTTGGTGCAGCCCTGCTCCTGCCAGGCCTCAGGCAGCACCTCCCTGTATCTTGTTACATATTGACAATACTTCCAATTAGCGTAAAACCAACTCTTCAAAGGGCCAGATCAGCTCTAAACACCAAGTCAATGAGCATCTTCCTGAAACATGGCGCACTCTAAGAGTCTCTGACGACTAAGCGCTGGCATCCCGCATGTGCGCACACCTGAGAGCACAGCAGCGGGGGACCAGGCCGCAGGAGGGCGCTGCGCGGCCAGGGGTCTGTGGTCTCGGCCACTTAGGGAAAGCGGCCCCAGAAGGGAAGTGCACTGTTGTGCTTCCTAACGCTGATGTACCCCCGCTCTTGTGTCTGGGGACTGGACGGTCAGTCCTCGCTAGCTGTGGAGGCCACATCACGAGACGCTCAAATACACATGTCTCTGAGAGGGAGGGATGTGACAGCTTGCCCCTCCATCCCGCTGCCGCCCACCCCACCACACTGAGGCCAAGCTCAGGCACCTGTCGATTCACTGCGAAGCACCTAGTGCGTGCTCTCTCTGGGTGGCTTTATAAAACAAGGCCCCAGCCCCACGCCCACCACCACCATCAACCTAAAACATCATCAACCACCTTCAGTAACACCCAGGCAGTGCGAACTTCCTGCTGCCTCACAACGTCATCTTATAAAACTGCAACGTTTTAATTGTGCTTCCAAAGAGAACCACGGAGGAGCTCTTAGCCTACAGGCTCCACCTCTCTTGCCCTCACTTTCCCCGTGACTCATTAGTTGAGGGAAAAAGAAGAAAGAAACTAGAGCCATCTCTCGGGCTCTGCCTCCATCGACCCTCTTGTTCCGAGTGGGCACCCAGCCCGAGCACTTTGGGCTTGTGTGCACAGTAAGACGGAGACAGAAGAAGCCGTGTGGCTGGCTCGGGTCCCCACTGCCTGGCCGTGGCGGACCAAGTCGCCCTCTCACAAGTGATCGATCCGCCACGCTGCCTGACATCAGATCCTCGGGACGCTCCCACCCCCCAGCCCGGGCCAGCCAAGGCGCATCGGCCCAGAGCCTGGGCGGAGAGCAGCTCTGCATTGCAAATGCACTCA